GCGCGAGAGAACGCTAAGACGCTTGATGGCGCACTGCCCCGCTAAAAGAGGATGAGAAAATGAGGAGGAGCGACGGGGAGCAGGGAGCACCTGAGGGGGAGGGCGGAAGAAGAAAGAAGTGCAACGCATCGAAAACAAGGTACATGGTATGATCTCAGGGGCGAGCTATATATATATAGGGAGAGATATGTGTGAGCATGCAGATACATGTATACACACATCTGGATGTATATACAGACACACACACATACATAAATACAAACAGACAAACACATGTGCGTCCATACATATATATACATACATACATACATACATACGTACGTACGTACGTACGTACGTACATACATACCTACATACATACATACATACATACATACATACATGCATGCATGCATGCATGCATGCATGCATGCATACCTACCTACCTACCTACCTACCTACCTACCTACCTACCTACCTACCTACCTACACACACACATACATACATATACATACACACATACATACATACATACATACATACATACATACATACATACATGCAATGCATGCATGCATGCGTGCACGCATGCATGCATGCATGCATACATACATACATACATACATACATACATACATACGTACATACCTATATACCTACATGCATACATACATAACCCCGACAAGCCTTTAAGAACCCCCCCCCCCGGGCCTATCGCTAGCATCGCACCAAGATTGAATATTGTCAGGGGGTCGTTTTCGCAGAGCGATATCTTTAGCACCTCGCACAAATCAAAACAAATACCCTGGCGACGTACCCAACCCCTGCGCAATGCGGGGCATGCGTAGCTTGGGAGACGGTATACGGAGGTGATGACGTGACATGGGCGCATATACTTTTGCGAGCGGCATTCGTGCGGCTCGCAGCCCCCCAAGGATTGCGATGCCTCGCTCAGATCTGCCTGGTGCCTCGCTCCGCTGAACCCGCCACCAGCCTTCGAAAGATGCGAAGGTTGCGCAGATCGCATCCCCCCAAGGACGGCGAGGCCCCGCTCAGATCTACGCAGTGCCTCACTCCGCTGGACCCACCAGCAGCCCTCGAAAGTGGGGACAAGTTCGCAGATCGCAGCCCCCCCAGGCACGGCGAGGTCCCGCTCAGATCTGCGCGGTGCCTCACTCCGCAGGACCCACCAGCAGCCCTCGGAAGTGGCGACAGTTTCGCAGATCGCAGCCCCTCAGGGACGGCAAGGTCCTGCTCAGATCCGCGCGGCGCCTCACTCCGCAGGACCCACCAGCAGCCCTCGAAAGTGGCGACAGTTGCGCAGATCGCAGCCCCCCAGGCACGGCGAGGTCCCGCTCAAACCTGCGAAGTGCCTCACTCCGCTGGACCCGCCAGCAGCCTTCGAAAGTGGCGACAGTTCCGCAGATCGCTAGGCTGGCCCCCCAAGCAGCCCTCGAAAGTGGCGACAGTTTCGCAGATCGCAGCCCCCCCAGGCACGGCGAGGTCTTGCTCAGATCTGCGCGGTGCCTCACTCCGAAGGACCCACCAGAAGCCCTCGAAAGGGGCGACAGTTTCGCAGATCGCAGCCCCCCAGGCACGGCGAGGTCTTGCTCAGATCCGCGCGGCGCCTCACTCCGCAGGACCCACCAGCAGCCCTTGAAAGTGGCAACAGTTTCGCAGATCGCAGCCCCCCAGGCACGGCGAGGTCTTGCTGAAATCCGCGCGATGCCTCACTCCGCAGGACCCACCAGCAGCCCTCGAAAGTGGCGACGGTTTCGCAGATCGCAGCCCCCCAGGCACGGCGAGGTCTTGCTCAGATCCGCGTGGTGCCTCACTCCGCAGGGCCCACCAGCAGCCCTCGAAAGTGGCGACAGTTCCCCAGATTCGCAACCCCCCAGGCACGGCGAGGTCTTGCTCAGATCCGCGCGGCGCCTCACTCCGCAGGTCCCACCAGCAGCCCTCGAAAGTGGCGACAGTGTCGCAGGTCGCAGCCCCCCAGGCACGGCGAGGTTTTGCTCAGATCCGCGCGGTGCCTCAATCCGCAGGACCCACCAGCAGCCCTCGAAAGTGGCGACAGTTCCGCAGATCGCAACCCCCCATGCAAGGCGAGGTTTTGCTCAGATCCGCGCGGTGCCTCAATCCGCAGGACCCACCAGCAGCCCACGAAAGTGGCGACAGTTTCGCAGATCGCAGCCACCCATGCACGGCGAGGTCTTGCTCAGATCCGCGCGGTGCCTCACTCCGAAGGACCCACCAGCAGCCCTCGAAAGTGGCGACAGTTTCGCAGATCGCAGCCCCCCAGGCCGGCGAGGTCCTCAGATCCGCGCGGTGCCTCATTCCGCAGGACCCACCAGCAGCCCACGAAAGTGGCGACAGTTTCGCAGATCGCAGCCCCTCAGGCACGGCAAGGTCCCGCTCAGATCCGCGCGGTGCCTCACTCCGCAGGACCCACCAGCAGCCCTCGAAAGTGGCGACGGTTGCGCAGATCGCATCCCCCGAGGCACGGCGAGGTCTTGCTCAGATCCGCGCGGTGCTTCACTCCGCAGGACCCACCAGCAGTCCTCGAAAGTGGCGACAGTTTCGCAAATCGCGGCCCCCCAGGCACGGCGAGGTCTTGCTCAGATCCGCGCGGTGCCTCACTCCCCAGGACCCACCAGCAGCCCTCGAAACTGGCGACGGTTTCGCAGATCGCAGCTCCCGAAGCACGGCGAGGTTTTGCTCAGATCCGCGCGGCGCCTCAATCCGCAGGACCCACCAGCAGCCCTCGAAAGTGGCGACAGTTTCCCAGATCGCAGCCCCCCAGGCACGGCGAGGTCTTGCTCGCAGCCCCCCAGGGACGACGACCACAGGAGGGGGCCGGAGGAGGACGCGACCACACCCCTCTATTCAAAACGAATACCTAACCAAATAGGGTCGGGAACAAAATTCCGTGGCGCGTCGCGCGCCGCGCGACGCGCAAGAAGAAATCCTCGGGACTGCCTTTGGATATGCTGTGCATTTCCTGGGACATTTCACGGACCAGCAATGGATTGCCTCGGGAATCCCAAGGATCCGAGACTCCTAGGAGATGCTAAGCGCCCCTCGCATGTCCTTGGGAAAGCTGAGCAAGGGCTAGCAAGGTTTGGCACAGGCTTAGCAGGGCGCAGCCGGGCTCAGCAGGGGGCGAACCTGGCTTATCATTGCTCAACAGGGCTTAGCGGGAGCCAGCAGGGCTCAGCAAGGCTTAGCTTGGCCCCGAACGCCCTCTGCGGGCTCCTTTGGTGCCGAGGTAACGCCTTCCAGGGTGCTGGATGCGCTATACCTTCACCGGATGAAAGGGGGGGGGGTCGTCAAGGCTTGATGCGGTTACATGCATACACGCTGAAGGATTTACGGGGGGGCGGCCGCGGCCTCGCGCGCAGCGACGAGGCGGAGAAAGTCACCCGAGCCACCAGAGAAAGCGCGCGGCCGGCCCCTCAGGAGATGGAGCAGGGATCCGAACAGGATCGGCCATGCATGCGCAGATCCACGCATGGGCAGCGAGGGTGCAGCACGCCAGGTGGCAGGCAGGCGGGTGCGCGGCGCGGCCACACGGCAGCGACGAGGAAGCACGGAAGGACGGACAGCGGAGCAGGCATACGGACAGCGAGGACCGCAGCCAGCAGCTCAGCGAGACAGTGCAGGACGTGGTCCATGCGGCCCAGCCCGACGACAGGCGGCGCAGACCACCGACAAGCACGGTGAATGAGCAACGGAGCGCACACACACACACACACACACACACAACACACACACACACACACACACACACACACACACACGCACACGCACACGCACACGCACACGCACACGCACACGCACACGCACACGCACACGCACACGCACACGCACACGCACACGCACACACACACACACACGCACACACACACACACACAAACACACACACACACACACACACTTCTTTAGCGTCGCAGCCTCGCGCGCGGCGGCGCGGTAGAGGTCAGTCAAGTCAGACGGGACCGCCCGGGCCGGGCCAGCTCACGCATTGTGGAGAAGATGGATCCACCCATAGGGGATCGACAGCAACACTCGCGAGGGGGCAATGGCGCGGGGAAGGGGCAAGGGGAACACACACACACACAGGCACGCACAGGCACACACACACACACACACACACACACACACACACACACGCATACACACCGACTGAAGGGGAAGTTAGGGGGACCAACTCAGAGGAAGGAAGGAACATCTAGCTGAAATCGGCGATACATCGCCGATAGACCGACGATAGGCCCCCCGACAGCGAATCCGCACATTCCCGGGGAGACCAGAAGGTACCCATACCGCTACTCCCCGGACCCCTCCCGGGGTGCGGTCTGGCCAGGATTTCGAAGCGAATCCAGCGGTGGCATCGAGCGCCCCCAAGAAAGGGGAAAGCGGGCGAAGGGTAGAGGTATGGGTACCTTTTCCTCCTCCGAGCTCCTGGGCGGGGTGGGATGTCGGGCCCCTGGGCGACTGGGGGTCGATGCACACACACACACACACACACACACACACACACACACCCTGAACATATGCCCTTTCTTCTCTCAGACAACAAGATGCCCATGTGACGGAGAGCGTGCCAGCTTCCTGAGAAGGCGTATGCTTGAGGTGGTCCAAGTGCGCTGGGGAAAGCACGGAGCGGATTCTTCTTCCTAAGCACTGGGCAAATTACTGGTGCCCCCTGAAAACTATGCCCCTGACGTTGCCCCCGACCGATCCCTGGGCCCAGGAGCAGCCTGGCCCGGCCCAGTGCGGGTGCACCGTCGACGCCCTCCGGGCTCCCAGCGGGGGATAAAATCACGACGGGAGCCCCATGGACCCCATCCTCCTGCCAGCTTTTTCGAGCCGGATCGATCTGGAATGGTCCTGGGGCCCGAAGCCGAACAGCGAAGGCCCAGAGGCCCACACAGAAGCGCAGCGCCGAGATCCCTGGGATCGATCCAGCGAGAAGTGCAAGGAAGAAGCCTGCGGGCGAAAGCCCCCGACCCAGGCGTGAGACCACACCAGGCGGGAGGCAGGCACGGGAGCCTCGAGAGCCCCGCGGGCGGGCGCCGACCCAGCCAGTTAGGGAGGGACGGAGGGCGCGAGACCACGAAGAGAACGAGGCGGCGCGACAACGAGCAGGGAGGGACGACAAGGAGGGGGAGGACAGCGAGGGCGACGCCCAGATCCCAGGGTTGCCGACGCCCTCCGAGCTCCCAGCGCGCCGCCCTCTCCGCCGAGGGTGGGCGCCGCGAGCGCCGCCGCGGGCACGCCCGCGGCGGCGCCGGCCGCCGCAGCGCCCGCCGTGCGCGCGGGGCCCGCGCGGGGCGGCGCCACGAAGCTGAGGCCCGCGAGCAGCGCCGAGGCTGCGAGCAGCAGAGGCAGCAGGGTCCTGCGCAGGGCCCGCTGCTCGCTGTCGTTTTTGTCTTCGTTTTTTCACTCGTGCCGTCCCCGTTCTGCATGTTTTCCGCAGAGCGATCTCAAAACGACAACGGCCCACGAAATCACGAAAGCACCGTGTGGCTCGAGCCCTGGCCGTCGGCAGGGACCGATCCTCCTGGCACTCCTATAGACCTACCACACAATGTTCTTGGAACGAAGATGTTCCAAGGACCAAAACAATGTTTGCAGAACAGAAACCCAGGGTATGAAAGCAAGACAGGCTCAGCCAGAAATGTTGCAAGAACTTTTCGTGCAAGCCACAGAGGGTTCTTAGAACAGCTGTTTGGTGGCCCTATGAGCAAATCAGGACGCTTCGCCAATGCTTGACCGTCCTGCGCACGGGCGCGGCCATCTGTGCGTCGGGAGTTCGGCCGGCTGCGGGGCTCCTCTGTGAGCGCGAGGGGCCGCGGGAAGAGCGGCACGCGTCGAGCGGAAACGTCTGCGGACGGCGAGGGGAGGTGGAGGAAGGGAAGGAGGAGGAGGAGGAGGAGGAGGAGGAGGAGGAGGAGTAAGAGGAGAGGAGGAGGAGGAGGAGGAGGAGGAGGACGAGGAGAAGGAGAGGGAGGTGGAGGCCGAGGAGGAGAAGGAGGAGGAGGAGGAGGAGGTCGAGGAGGAGGAGGACGATGAGCATGCCCCATCGAGACCGTCGCCCTATAGCTGTCCTTGCTTCTCTGGGCGCGCGCGTCGGCTTCGGTGCCTCGACCCCGCCACGGTGCCGCGAACGCGGCTGCCGAGTCGAAGAGGAGGAGGACGGCGACGACGACGACGACGACGACGACGACGACGACGACGACGACGACGACGACGACGAGGCTTGCTCCGGGAGGGCGAGGGCCCCAGGTTGCTAGCGTCGCTCTGCCACAGGTGGAGGCGATGGGGGAGACGCCTCCGCAGGGGCGGGCGGGCCCCTGCACTGCATCCTGCTCCTCCTCCTCTCCTCCTCCTCCTCCTCCTCCTCCTCCTCCTCCTCCTCTCCTCCTCTCTGCTCCTCCCCTCCTCCTCCTCCTCCTCCCCTCCTCCTCCTCCTCCTCCTGCTCGTCCTCTCCTCCTCATCCTCCTCCTGCGCCTCCTTCTCCTACCTCCTCCTCCTCCTCCTCCTCCTCCTCCTCCTCCTCCTCCTCATCCTCATCCTCCTCCTCCTCCTCATCCTCTCCTCCTCCTCCTTCTCTCCTCCCCCTCCTCCTCCTCCTCCTCCTCCTCCTCCTCATCATCATCATCATCATCATCATCATCATCATCATCATCATCAGCATCATCATCATCATCATCATCATCATCATCATCATCATCATCATCATCATCATCATCATTCCATGTTTCTTCTCCTATTGGGCCCAGGTGACGTCACCCACCAAACGCCCTGTGGCATGCTACACTGCTACTCTGAACTGCTCGCCCCGCCGCCTTCGCCTTCATAATCAGGTCCGCAGCGTCCTCTGTCCGTTGGCCACCAGAGTGTGAGGGCTCTGACTGACGGAGAACAGCGAGGCTGAGGAGGAAGAGGATGACGACGACACGAGCAGGAGGGCGACGAGGACGACGAGCAACCCCCAGAACTGCCCAGAAACCAATGGAAACCGCAAAACCTCGCAAAACTCATTCTCACTCAGCATCAGCATCATCATCAGCATCAGCATCAGCATCAGCATCAGCATCAGCATCAGCCGCATCAGCATCAGCATCAATATCAGCATCAGCATCACCATCATCATCATCATCAGCAGAAGCAGCATCATCATCATCAGCAGCATAATCGTCAGTATCATCATCAGTATCTTCATCATCATCATCCTCATCAGCATCAGCACCATCAACAACATCATCATCAGCAGCATCAGCATCATCATCAGCATTTATCATCATCATCAGCAGCATCAAAATCATCGTCATCCTCAGCATCATCAGCATCCTCACTATCAACATTATCATAATCAGCAGCATCAGCGTCAGCAGCAACTCAACATTATCAGTATCATCATCGCCATCACCAGCATCACCAGCATGAGCGTCGTCATCATCATCATCATAATCATAATCATCATCATCATCATCATCATCATCATCAGCAGCAGCAGCATCGTCGTCAGCATCCTCATCATCATCATCATCAGCATCCTCATCATCATCAGCATCAGCATCAGCATCAGTATCATCATCATCACCACCACCATAATCATCATCAGCAGCAGCAGCATCAACACCACCACCATTACCACCATCAGCACCACCACAACCGTCATCAGCGACATCATCCTTATCATCATCCTCATCCTCGCCCTCCTCCTCACCATCATCCTTATCATCAGCATCATCATCATCAGCATCAGCATCACCACCATCCTCATCATCATCAGCAGCATAATCATCATCACTGCCACCATCATCATCACCGACACTGTCGTCGTCGCCGTCGTCAGCATCATCAGAATCAGCATTAACAGCGTCAGCATGAGCATCACCATTATCAGTAGAAGCATCATCATAATCACGATCCTCAGTATCATCATCAGCATCATCATCAGCATCAGCATCAGCATCATCATATTCGTCATCATCCTCGTCGTCGTGTCCACCAAAATCATCACAATCAGCATCAGCATCAGCATCATCAACATCAGTATCATCATCTGCAGCAGCAGCATAATCATCATCATCACCATCATCCTCACCAGCACAATCGTCGTCGTCATCCTAATCCTCCTCCTCCTCCTCATCCTCCCCCTCCTCCTCCTCCTCGTCAGCATCATCAGCATCATCATCACCGTCATCATTATCATCATCACCGCCACCATCATCACATCACCACTATGATCAGCATCATCATTATAACACACACAAACGAACAAACACACACACACACACACACACACACATCAGCCATCCACGCATCCCCACCCTCCCTTGTACTCCTCCATCGTACTCCTTCCCACCCCCACGGAGGAGGAGAGGGACGAGGAAGAGGACAACGACGACGGCAGGGACGGCGAGGACGACGACGAGGAGAGGGACGAGGAGAGGGACGACGACGAGGAGAGCGACGACGACGAGGAGAGGGACGACGACGAGGAGAGGGACGATGGAAACGACGGACGAGGGCAAGGACGAGGGCGATGACGGAGCCTGCGCGGCTGTGTCGCCACGTCCCGCCATCGCTCCGTCGCGGAGCCTGCCGAGGCCACGAAGAAGCCCCCGGAGCTGGCCTCTCGGCGGCGTCGTCCCCGCCGCTGGCGTCCTCCTCGCCATCGTCGTCATCGTCGTCGCCGTCGTCGTCCTCCTCCTCCCCCTCCTCCTCCTCCTCCTCTTCCTCCTCCTCCTCCTCCTCTTCCTCCTCCTCCTTCTCCTCCTCCTCCTCCACCCCGTCCTTCTCCTCCTACTCCTTCTCCCTGTCCTCCTCCTCCACATCCCCCTCCTCGTCCTCCTCGTCCTCCTCGTCTCCTCCTCCTCCTCCTCCTCCTCCTCCTCCCCCTCCTCCTCCTCCTCCTCCTCCTCCTCCTCCTCCTACTCCTCCTCCTCGTCCTCCTCCGCATCCTCCCATCCTCCGCATCATCCTCCTCCGCCTCCTCCTCCTCCTCCTACTCCTCCTTCCTCTTCCTCCTCCTCTCCTCACCCCCTCCTCCTCCTCCTCCTCCTCCTCCTCCTACACCTCCTCCTGCATTCCTTCTCCTGATAGATAACGTCTCCCTGTCGCACCCTGAGGCCAGTTTTTGCGGCGGCTCGCCTGAGACTCCCGCACCATTTATGACCCTGAAGGTGAAAAACTGCCAACAGCTTCACAGATGGAGGGCGGGTCGTCTTCAAAGTGTGGCTCTCGCCTTAGCGCCGCGCACATTCATTTCAAAAATTTGCAAGAGCTTCACGGATTGAGGGCGGGTGAGTTTCAAAATGTGGCTCTCGCCTTAGCGCCGCGCACATCCGTTTTTTAAATTGCAGGAGTTCCACGAATTGAGGGAGGTTCCTTTTCAAAATGTGGCTCTCGCCTTAGCGACGCACACATTCTTGTTAAACAACTGCAGGAGTTCACCGAATTCCCATGATCGACGTACCAGAAATGGTCCTTCGGAGGACTTACGATTTTGAGGGCGCAACAGTTACGATGATTCCGGAGTTGAGGTCGAAAGAATGGCGTTCTGGCACGATTCAGGATCGTCAAGACGCAGCAGTCAGGTTCATCCGTGGCGTTGGAATACCAAGAATAATGTTTTGGCTTGCTTCAGGGTCTTCAAACGGTTGCCTTCCAACGAGGCAGGTCCCTCTGTGGAAATGAACCGTTGTAGGGGCCTATGGAAAGGGAGCTTGGGAGGAGGGTTTACTCCAACATCGTTGGTGACTGTTGGGTTTACACTGGTCCTCCTACTCTTCCTCCCCCTCTTCCCCCTCCTCCTCCACATCCTCCTCCTCGTTCTCCTCCTCCTCCTCCTCCTCCAGCCTCCTCCTCCTCCTCATCTCCTCCTCCACCTCCGCCTCCGCCTCCGCCTCCGCCTCCCCTCCTGCTCCTCCTACTCCCTCCCCCTCACTCTTCTGCCTCCTCCTCCTCCTCCTCATCCTCCTCCTCCTCCTCTTATTATTCTTCTTCTTCTTCTTATTATTCTTATTATTATTATTCTTCTTCTTCTTCTTCTTCTTCTTCTTCTTCTTCTTCTTCTTCTGCTTCTTTTTCTTATTTTTCTTCTTATTCTTCGTCTGCTTCTTCTTCTTCTTATTAAGTTTCTTCTTCTTCTTATTATTATTATTCTTCTTATTCTTATTATTCTTCTTATTCTTCTTATTCTTATTATTATTCTTCTTATTCTTCTTATTATTATTATTCTTCTTATTATTCTTATTATTCGTCTTATTCTTCTTCTTCTTATTATTATTCTTATTATTCTTCTTATTCTTCTTCTTCGTCTTTTTCTTATTATTATTATTATTCTTCTTATTCTTCTTCTGCTTCTTCTTCTTATTCGTATTCTTCTTCTTATTCTTCTTCGTTTTCTTCTTCTTCTTCGTCTTCTTCTTCTTCTTCGTCTTCTTCTTCGTATTCTTCTTCTTCTTATTATTCTTATTCTGCTTATTCTTCTTCTTATTCTTATTATTATTATTCTTCTTCTTCGTCTTATTATTATTCTTCTTCTTATTCTTCTTATTATTATTATTCTTCTTCTTCTGCTTCCGCTTCTTATTCTTCTTCTTATTATTATTATTATTATTCTTATTTTTCTTCTTCTTCGTATTCTTCTTCTTATTATTATTCTTCTTATTCTTCTTATTATTATTCTTCTTCTTATGATTCTTCTTATTATTATTATTCTTCTTATTATTCTTCTGATTCTTCTTCTTATTCTTCTTCTTATTCTTCTTCTTCTTCCTCTTCCTCCTCCTCCTCCTCCTCCTCCTCCTCCTCCTCCTCCTCCTCCTCCTCCCCCTCCCCCTCCCCCTCCCCCTCCCCCTCCTCATCCT